GAAAGAAAGAAAGAAAGAAAGAAAGAAAGAAAGAAAGAAAGAAAGAAAGAAAGAAAGAAAGAAAGAAAGAAAGAAAGAAAGAAAGAAAGAAAGAAAGAAAGAAAGAAAGAAAGAAAGAGAGGTTTGGTTAATTAGTTTGTTGGTTTTTCAAGGAAAAGCAACAGAACACCAGAGGAGGGACCATCAGAATCGGGCGGGTTCCTCCAGGCGCCTCCCTCTGGCCATCCTCCTTCCATCTGCTCAGGGACAAAACAACAAGGACAACATCAAAGAAAGAGGAGCGAATCTTTGGGGGGGGGGAGATCAAATGGCTCACGTTCGAGAAAGAGGTGGGAAGGATCCGGTGGAAACCACCATCAGGGTGCATCAGAGTTGGGCACGTCCACCTTTTCTAAACAGGGCGTTGGGTAGAAGGGGTGGGGGGGGGGGGTGTGGCCAGAGGCATCATGCCGGGGAGAGCCAGGAGGGAGCATTATGAGCCAAGTGATGGTTGCAATCAAAGGCAGCTTCTGTTTCCTCTTTTCCCTTTCCCCCTCCTCTGGGGAGGGGGAGACTCACATTCCATGCTCAGCTGAAAAGACATCAGCCTCAAAACAGAGAATCTCATCCACAGAAACCACCACGAGGCACCGTCCCCCATTTTCAGGCAGTTTCAGCCCAGCCCAGCACCAACACATATCTTCTGGAAGACCCAATCAAAACTAGAGGCCATCGTCTAAGTCATGCTCAGCTGACTCGAGTTGCAAGGATGCTGTGAATCCCATCCAGGTTTTAGCTGGCCTTTTGCAGGAGCTGGCCAAGGTGCTGAACCCATTTTGCAGAGGCGCAAGACTCAGCACCCTGGAGAGCTCCTGTAAAGCGTCAACGAAAACCTGGACTGTATTCACAGAACTTTCGGCACTGAAATTACCAGCCGCCACTTCTTCTGGCTTTGGGGGGGGGGGGAAACAGTAGATGGATTCCCTGGTGGTCCGGGGACGGTGGAAAAATGGGGACCCTCCACTGTCCCCCACCCAGTATCCATTTTGAAGTAGCAAGAAGATCCTTCCTGATCTCTCTGCAGAATGCTAGAACCTGCAGGTTGATGTTGTATGGAAGGTTGGGCAGGAGACTAAAAGTCCAGAGAAGAAAAGGGAAGATCTCCCCGCGTGTGCAGGAAAACACTTTTCCTTTCTGAAAGAGAGGAGTTCTTTCTCCTCTCTTCTTTCCCTCCCTCCCCCTATGACAATTCAACTCGCTGGCACCCAGAACAGCATACATGTCATTGGAGCCTCGACTCAGTTTTTTTTGAAGGATCTCGCACTATCTGCCCCACGATCCTCAATAAGGCTCTCTTTTTCTCTCCCACTCCTGGGACAAACACCTTTTTGACACTGACTGTCTCGTAAGGCTGTCAGGAAATTGGGGGGGGGGGTTACACGTATGCGCAAGGAGAGATGCATCAAGGGAAACGGGAGCAGAGGGTGGGGTTTGGCTCATGATTCATTCCTGTTCAGAGGTTAGAAAAACATTCTAGGTGATTCTTCTTTTTCTTTGCCTTTGGTAGTCAGACTTTTTTTTTTTTGGTTAAAAAAAAGTCCTGTATCAAGGCAAAATAAGTAAAAACTAAAGGGGGGAAAAAGAGGAATGTTTCTGAAGGTTTTTCTGAAGTTCCGAACCTTGTATGCCACCCTATGAGGGCACTTCTTTCCTAAGCCCAAAGGTGGCGCAATAGCTCGTAGTAAATTGTACATTTCCTTATAATGAATCCGACAACTAGAAAAGGGAAAAAATACATATATACTTTATATATAGATATATATAAAATAAACCATGACATGGAAGATGAAACAAGACAATGACCTTCTACAGCCTTGCTTTACTTTGGCCTAGAAAACATGAAAAAGAGACAGAGAACATGAAAATCACATTAGACGGGAGAGGTCAAAGCCTCCACCTACCGAACGGCCTTCCAATTAATTCCCAGTTGGGAAAGAAGCTTTCAAGCTGCAACGGAAGAATCACGCCTTCTGTTTTTTATTTACCTCATTTTCACA